TGTATTCACTCAAGATGGACATTTTCTCTTAATTATTTGAATATATTTGCAATTGTTTCTTTAAAATCCTTGTCAGCTAATTCTATCATCTGGGTCATCTCAGGGTTTCTAGTTATTGCTCATTCTTGGCCATGGGCCACATTTTTCTGTTTCTTTGCATTCCTACTAATTTTTAAATTGTAAATTGTATATTGGAAAGCGTGGATGATATGCTGTAGAGATAGAAGAGTGTTAAGTTTGGGATCTAGCAGGCAGTTGGATGAATAGCTGGTATTGTGGCAGCTGCAGTTTATAATTTGTCAGGATGACTCTAACAATTTATATTACACAAGTTGGTTACACATTAGACTTAAGGCAAATCCTTAGTCCTGGGACATAGACTTTACTCCTGGGCATAAGTCTTTTAGTTTTCACCGGAAAGCACAAGCTGTTCACCAGACCCCTCTAAACTTGTGAGATGCAAATTTTAATCTCTGCCCTTCACGTGACAGACAACAGTTGAAATTTCTGTTCAACATTTTCAGACTTCCAACTGTTGTTTTCTACCAGGCTCCATGGAGTCTCCCTTATATATGTATAGTTCAGAGATTAGGCAAAGATTTGAAAAGAAGTTTATATGCATATTTGGTGTGTTGCCCCATAGCTTCTTCCTTATGAGATTTCTACCTTTTGACTCCTTTTTCCAACATATCAAGCCAATATGACCATGTATTTATTTTGAGTTTAAAGCCATCTCATAGAGGAAGGAGCCAAGATGGCGGAGGAATAGGACGGAGAGACCACTTTCTCTCCTACAAATTCATCAAAAGAACATTTGAATGCTGAGCAAATTTCACAAAAGAACTTCTGATCGCTAGCAGAGGACATCAGGAGCCCAGAAAAGCAGCCCATTGTCTTCGAAGGGAGGTAGGACAAAATATAAACGACAATAAGGGAGTCGAAAGAGCTACGGACGGAGACCCGTCCCGGGAAGGGAGTCTTAATAGAGGAAGTTTCCAATCACCAGGAAACCCTCTCACTGGCGGGACTGGGGGAAGTTTTCGGCACTGTAACTGGGAGGAAAAATTAAACAAGGCCCACAGATTACGTGCCTAAAAGCAACTCCCAGCAGAAAAGTACCCCAGACGCCCGTACCCGCCAGCAACAAGCGGGGCGGAACGGAGAGGAGCGGGCGGCATTGCTT